CCCCAAAACCCCAAAACCCCAAAACCCCATTAGGATAAGAATTTGATCAATTAACGATTGATGAAATCTCTAGAATCTAAAATTAAATATCTTCATTTTGATGCATTTTAAACAAAATTATCATCTGCCTGTTCAAATAAATTAAATTAATTTAATTTTTTAAGATTTTCTTATTAAAGGCTAATGGTAATAACTTATCTTTAAATGATAATTCTAAATAAAATAAGGTCCATCGATATGTATGGGCACAATAATAGATTTCTATATTAAGGAGAGCAGACTATGAAAACATTGCCGGGGGCTCTTGCAACAATGGGATATGTAGTGATTCTCATACTGTATTTGGTTTACTAGTTATAATCGTTAGGTTAGGTTACCTAAGTTTTATATCATAAAAATTTCATTGGCACTTCGATGGAATCATTGACACTAAATGAAAATAATTTCTTTATAGAAGTTTCGGTAGCAGCACCAGCAACATTTAAAGATTTATAAGAAGTTGATAGTTATCTGAGTGTCTATGGTGTATTGAATATCTATGACATAAATGGAACTTAAGGAACACCATATTCGAGGATTTTGTTCGAAAAATGTAGTCACAACGAATATTACTACGATGGTTTTGTTAGTTTTTGCTTGCCTTTATATCAACGTGTTAACATTGGTTCCAGATTAACTAAATTCAATGTTTATGTAACCAAATGCTCCAATGTATATAAATATGACTTATATCCTAGGAAAAGATGCGGTGACATAAATGATACCTAATTATTTTAGTTCATTGAAGAAAAGAAGATCCAAATTAGATTTTAAACTCAGTATTTCGATGAAAATAGCACAGAATTTTACAATTAGCATAATGATTATATACCTCTGACTTTATATTCTTAATTTTAGACCCAATAAGTGGTTTAATTGAGCACCAATAAGATTAAATATAGCAATTCGCTACTGCATGAAAGCTTAGATATTGTTGAGAAAGAATTTTTAAGCACAAAAAAGGGATATATTAATAGATATCCATTAAATACAACTACTTTATAATTTCTTGATATTTAGTATGAAATCTCAAATGAATAAGAAGAACTTGTCATCGTCAAGACTAATTTGGTCCAAATACTCTCAAGCGTTGGTGGTCTAGCTGGATCTATTTACTTTATCATTAAGCTGTTCATGAACCCTATTCAAAGTTTTATTTACTACTAGAGCATAATTAAGCAAACTTACTTAGTTGATTAAACTGCATTAAATGATAAAAAGAAAAAGTTAAAATAGAATGATGATGATGAACCTCATTAGCAACCACCAGACTTGGAGAGCAAATAAAATGACAAGCCAAATTTACTTATCAGAGGTTAAGATTTAAAAGGTTAGACGCAAGCCTAGAATATGTATACCTTCTTTTTATTGATTCAAGTTCTTCTCTAGAGAAATCCTTTCTCATACTCTCCCATTTTTGCTTTTGGAACATATATTAAGAGTCTTGTTATGTTTAGAAGGAAATATATCTATCTTGAGATTCATAGAATGGGAAAAGAATTGATAGAAAAACAACTTGATGTAAGTATTATGCTAAGGGACTTGAGAACCTTAAAAATGTCAAATAACCTTCTTCTCAGCAAATTCTAAAAAAGACTTATACCATTCCTATAACCATACCTTTTAAACAAGAAATTAGAAGCAAAGTAATTAAAATAGGATGAAAATTCAAAAATGAGTAAAGAAGAAAGACTTAAAAAATTCCAAAATGAGAAGCTCTCTAATTTGATTGAATTCTTTGTAAACTACCAAAAATAATGCAATGATGTTGATAAAGCAATGTTTGATTAACTCATGTAGGACAAAGAAAAAGACACTCATAGTTTGGAGGTTCAAATATTTTCTGGTATACTCAGGTAATATGTAGCGGATCACTTAAAGACTTTATACGAAAATCAAATTATCCATCCTCCTACAGATTCAAAGATCTTGTCTGACTAGCAAAAGGTAGACAATTATCCGTTAAAAACACTTTAAATAATCTAAGCCTCTAATTAAGCCTAGAGATCAAGAAGAAATAGCTATATTGGTCCTCAAGAAAATGAAAATGACGATAAAAACCTGTTCGTTCTCAATGAAAGTCACTCAGATAGAGGTAATAACGCTGCTGATAAAATGGAGCTTTTGTAAATTGCTGATGAAAATAATCAATGGAATGTTAATGTACCTAAAATCAGTAGCATTTCACCAAAAAAATTGACATGAAATTTTGCTTAGAAAAATTCAAGAAAGCAAAAATAGAAGAACTAAACCAATTTCTTTCAATTTTATTTTCTATTAATCTTTTCAAAATCATTATTATTTGTTTTACGGGGTTTTGGGGTTTTGGGGTTTTGGGG